AAAAGTACTATTGTGGATTTAAAGTTGGTTTTTAAAAAGCATTTTGCTAAAAATTTTTTTGTGACATGATAGTGATACATTGGCAAATTCAAGACGAAAAGGTTAGAAATCGCATGCTGTTAATTATTGGAGAGGTCATCAGACCTCTCCACAGTGTTCAGACTGGTTGCTGGCGGCATCCATTTTTGCGTATCTGATTGTAGTGAACGATTGTCATTTAAAGCGTAAAATCATTAGGAGCAGTCTACAAAAATTGTTTTGCGCATGCTCCGTTTCAAAATACGACTGAAATTAAACGAAAAATTAACATCGAAGTGAAAAAAATCGGAAAATAATCATTTTACGTTACTTAGCGTTACGCGGTGTTTCATTCCGTTTTAAATCTTTTATATTGTATAAATCGTTTACCGTATTGTTTTTTCTGAAATAAGCGTTTTACTATAACTATTATCTTGTTCCGATAAATAGTAATAGTAAACATTACAGGTACAATATCACCATGTACTATTATATGACCGAATAAACCGTGTACCGAAATCGTGCTGCTCCTTAAACATTTGAGCCGGTATGACTAAATAGCGCAACGGAGATTTTTTGGCGCAAATAGCACAAACATTACTCAAGATTTTCCTCAAATATTGTGGTTGGAGGCATGCAGCTTTATATACTATATTTATGTCTAGCTTTGTTGTTAAAATCTTAAAACCCATTAAGCCTCATAAAGGAATTAATGCTATTTCTCACCTTTATAGTTTTTTGGTGTCTAAAATGCTTCTCATTGCCCAGAACCATTTTTTTTTTTTTTTGCTTCTGTCTTTATTAACCAATCAGTAAAGATTTTGATTAAGTATTTGGTATGGAAGTCAAAATGCTACTGTGTTTACATTTTCAAATTATTTTCATACTCAGTGCAGGTGAAAATAAAGATGATAAAATTTGATATCCCTCTTTCTAAAGAAGGTAAAATATTCGTTTCTAAGGCATAATGTATTTAATTAAAACGTACGCAACGAGATAATAAAATTAATAGTGAAATGTTGGTTTTCCGTCTAAATATTTCTGCTCAGTAAAAGTTTTCTTCCTTTATAAGTGAATTTTTTAAATAGGAAAAAGTGCAACAATAAGGTTAAGATTAGAAGTTTAATTTGGTGTACAATAGGTTAATTAAGATCGTTTGTATTACGTCTGCGATGTGAACATATGGATCCATTAAAAATGTGACATGTCTACTTATATCTGTATTTAGAACTGTACTGAAATTGTGATGATATGTTACTAAATATAAAATGTGACAACTATAAATACGAAGCACTCTTTGAGACGAGTATCATTGCTTTACTCAGCCGGCGACCAAAGAGAAGCTAACATCATGCTCAGGGGTTCTACTAGCCTGTTTTGTCTGTGTTTCATATGTTATGGTAAGTATTTATGTTTTCCGCTTTATCATTTATAAAATTAATATAGTATTTATTTAGGTAATCTGAAATCATAATATGCTTTATTTCTTACACAAAGTAAAGGCACATTATGCCTCAGAAACAAATAATATTTACTTGTTCAGAAAGGGCAAATATGAGTTTCATAACGTTTAAATAATGGTTTTTAGAGCATGTTAGATGCTTGTTACCTGAACAAAAAGTAGCACTTAAATGTAAGATGATTTATCATGGATAAAGCCAAAATGTAAACAAAGTAGTATTTTGGGTTCCATACAAAATACTAAAATGAATAAAATCTTTATAAACTGTACTGATTTGCAAAAAAAAGCAACAGATGAAAAAAAAAAATTGTACCAATAATTCTGTTTAATATGTACAATAAAACATGGTTTGTTTCAGTGTATGCACAACAACACACAAGTCCTCACCATGTCAAAATAACCACAATCACACACGTCATCACACCAACACGACGAGGGAGCCTCCCCAGCGAGGGAATCTTTCAAGTTTATCTACGAACCTCACTCTGTAAGTGATGGTTTTTCTACTCAACAAATAACGTTACTATGTTACTACATGATAAAGTTAATGAAATGATAGCTATACATTTTTATATCTTAATCAAATATGCTTTTTGGCGACACATATAGATTGCATGGACACTAATACATGATTAATCCCATCCCTAGAATTCATTTTAAATCATATAAATTATCATATAGTTCAATGATATATAAAAATAAGTAAACTTAAAATATATTTTCAGCAAATGATGGTTGTAGTTAGCGCAAAGGAATGTTACGTATTTGCATTAAGTGACAGTGAAAAGTCGGCTGTCCACACAGACGCTGGTATACGTGCAGTAGAGGTAAGCTTTATTTGAGCCGCGTCACGACAAAACCAACATAAAGCGTTTGCGACCAGCATGGATCCAGACCAGCCTGCGCATACTACAATACTACTACTACTCCTGCTACTGCTACTACTACTAATGCTAATACTACATGTACTATGATAATAATAACAATTAAAATATAATTTAGAGCAAAAGTATGCTAAATAGCCGATAACAAAATGATTATTTTATTCCTTTCGTTGTAGTATACTTTTGAACAAATTTCACCCATAACCAAAAGTGTTGCGTTTTGAGCTTATTCTGCTTTTTTTTCTAATTTATTGCAGTTGCGCTTACTGGGTGCTTTAAGTACTTCTGCTGTGACTTCTACAACCAAAGATCAACTGGATCCTAAGGCAGCACATGCATGTGGCGGACATGTAACGACATTCTACAAGGAATCCAGTTCATAAGTTAATAAGATTGTACATGTACAAGAATAAAAATAAATAATCATTTAATGTTCAAATTGTTTTTAGTTGTTAATTGATAGACAGAAGAACAATGGCTTGTTTGACTTAAAACAGAAGTAAGAGAAATTAGGACAACGGTTTATTTTGACACAAGAGAAATTAAAAAACAACAACAACAAAAACATTCTCGCAGAATGATAGTGTACAAGATATTGTTTTGTTAGCTCAAAAGATAGATCAATTAGGCACATCAAGAAAGATGATAATGTTAAATAATACATGCAACCATACTACACCATCGTCCGTATCGTGAACAATTTTTTCATAAAAAATCCGTATATTGAATGAAATTATCAGGTAAATTAGTTCAAATTCAATATTTTGTCGAATCGAAAGGAACTGTTTATCTACAAATGAAGAACAATGTATCTAGAAAATGTTTGAAACATAAGTCTAATTCTATTACGTTAGGATTAATCATTTAAGGCATGACATATTTCTTTGAGTCAATTGTATTTATTTTGTAATTTAAGAGTGCTCACAGCAATATTCATGAAAACAAGATTTGAAATATTGTTCATCATATTATGCAGATTCCATCTGACCAAGATATACACACTTCCTATCATAATGGCATTATTCGAGAAGACTTAGAAGTGTTCTCAGACAAATATCCTCAAGGTACTTCATACCGGGAGGTACTTTGTACCAGGAATGTCCAGATATTACAAATTATTCTTACATAAAAAAAATTCTATTGTATGCAAGTGTTTTTCACATTAATTTCATACAAAATAAGAAAATTCGAAGTTTTAATAATCCTATTCACATAAATGTGTTTCAGTGTTGTTATATTTTCTGGTCCTTCGGGATCATTGATGCCAACACTATTAAGTGTTGAGAATTGAGTACCGCTCAAGCCGGTGCTAGGGGGGCGTGAGGGATGTTGCAATTATTCATTATCTCTCATGTACAGACTCAATCAAACCGAGTCTGCAATTCTTATGTAATTTTGTTGTGATCAATGCTTACGAGGGATCACTTTGTTTCCAGAATTTTTTACATATAAATCCAGTAGTATGACTAACAATTTGCACCCAGCATGATATTTTGAATGTGTGTGCAAATGTTTATCAAATTGTTACCCTTTTACTGTGTGATAACTGATAAATATTGAATAGGACTTTAGTATCATAAGCAGTAATGGACCATTTACATATGTTTTTAACTTTTTATTCATTGCTTGAAATTCATTCCTGATATTGAAGTACTTAGAAACAAAGATGGCTGCTACTCATATGAGGTTATTTACAGAACTATCTTTTTGATGTATGGTTAAAATTTCTTTTGGATAATTGTTATTTTCATCAAAAAACGGTACCTTCTACAGAAAATAACTATTTCATCCTAGATTTTTTCTTGTATTATATGATGGTGGGTCTTATATATAAGATTTACACTCCCGCAGTAGATTGTACAACCAGGATATAACTTTTGATTTTGATTTTTTTATGCTAATGTTGAGAGAACTTGTGGGTCAACCCTTTTGCCAAATATGTCATGTCATTGTATTGTAATAAATTAACTGTCTACATGTATGTATATGTTTTATTTTTGGCAATAAAATATGTTTAAATCAAAATCTAAAAATATCTGTCAAGAACATCTTACAATTTATGGGGAGTGATTATATAGTAAAATAACATGGGCATACGATACATGATACACGATCGTTTAGTTTACTTCACACTGATTTACGATGATCATTAATTTCAGGTTTAAACTACTATTATGTCAAGCTCATATTTTATATTAGTAACTAAGTTTTAAATGATTTGTGCCATTCGTTGTTTCGCCCCGCGACCCCGCCAAGCGAAAAGTCGACAATTAATACGTTAAAATGAAGGGGGCGCGGACCGAAAACTACTCTCCTGCGCATCGGTCGAATGTTCCACTATGATCGCTCACTGTCTGAATTAACGTGAGAGTATTCAGTGAGCTGCGAAGGGAGCATAGTTATTATTTTTGCAGCAGGGTCTTTCTATTTGAAAGACCCTGTTTGCAGATATCAAGAATGGTTACATTAGTCAATAATATTTTCTACTTTGGTAATTTTATAAGACATACTTAAAGCAAATGATTTTCCGTTTTATACTATTCCTTTCGCATATATGTATGAAACTGCTTTTCGTTTTTTATAATGCACATAAATTCTAACCAATGGGAATCGAGAATTTGCAATTACGTCACCTTATGCAAATGGCGGACATCACAAACAAAAGTTTACTGATGTGACGGAAATAATATGTAAGCATTTGAAAATCAAAGACTTGGAAACAGTTATATTCTTACAGAATAAAAGGTTGATATTCTATCATAATTTGAGAGAAATGTAAATGTTCAACATATGATTTTAAGTCCGAAATTAAAGGTAAAGTCGGTAGCCTTTGTACGCTAAACCGGGTGGGGTACAGAAATTGTGAATTCGTAAACTTTGTGATAGGTTTACTTCTGGGCAAATAAATGCCCTATCCTATTTTGATAATACACCATAGTACGATATAACACGAGTTATCAGAATATTTTATGATATCTAATCATTCATTAATTAGGAAGTGGCTAGTCTTGCTATTCAGGCCTTGAAGAATTTTTCTAGGGGTGAGTGACTCTTAAATTGGGAAGTAAAAGGTTGGGACCGTGAAGCCCTGGCTTTGGCTTGACCAGCTACAAACTACACATGTATATGTTAAAGAATATAAAGAATTCTATACCAATCTGTTATCAATTTTCAGTGTCAGTTGTAGTCGGGCACTGCCATTTTCAATGTAACTCAATGATAATAGGCGGGATATTCAGAAAACAAACTATCGCAACTTTTGGGATTGATTATAATGGTCGAGTATTCCGAGTGAAAACTGATCCGGAAGTGATGCATGAAATACTGTATGACATCTTTAAAACGGAACAATTTCTTTTCCGAAGTATGTTAAAGAATCATTCATTTTTTTACTGGTTTTAAAGTGTCATTCGTATTTTATGTACCACAGTTTTTACTCAGGACACCTCAACGATTATTATTAGGATGTGGCTTGCTGTACGGCTAGCCACAAGCTCTAGCCTTATGTGAGTCAAGTACGGCCAGCCAGGGCACACTGTATTGTCTAACTGTATGGCACTTTTCGAAATTATATGAAAAGTTGAAAATGCATATATTAACAGAGCAACAGATAAGGTGCGTATTTGCGCAATTAATTTGATCAAATACCCAATTGATTTTTTAATAATGCGTATCAAAACCCAATTAAAAAAAATTAAATACGCAATTTTCTTTAAAACCCGTGCGTATTGTCATTTTCATCACCGCAAAATCTGTCGTACGCTTGTAGTTTTGGACAAATTATATTGATATGCATGCTATCCGAATATTCCCGAATCAATGCTAACTAATCAACGGTCTCCGGTCTTCGACGGTCCCCGGCCTCAAAAGACCGATAAGCCATATCAATAAAGCATGAGACCATCGATTTGTCTACTCAGGTCTTTACAGACTGGCAGAGACCATTAATTTTGCGGAGACCGTCAATAAGTAGGTCCCAGCTGTATCAATAGACGCTTTGAAAGCAATTATGGCGTCGTACAAAAGGGAAAATGATTTGAAACAAAACAGTCGTAAATCAAAAATTAGTTAGAAAAGGAACTTGTTAAAAATATTATGAAATATAACATCTAGAGCATTTTATATAAAAAATAAAGCAATTGTGAAAAGTTCTAGTGAATTGTTAATCCTATTTTCTTTTTAAAACAGTTTAAATTTTATTGATATTGAAACCATAAAATTCATATCTTCATAATTAAATACCCAATTGATCTTGAAATCATAGGGTATCGAGTTTTGGAATACCCAATTAAATGGAGTCAATACCCAATTCCAAAGGAAATGATGGAGTAATACCCAATTCACTTTTAAAGCTTATCTGTTGCTCTGATCTTACATTGAATGTAATTAATTACAATAGTATAAGATGGTCCAAGAACCACAAATCAATGCATAACAATAACATGAGTCTTTTCCTCGAAATTTGGGGGAAAAGTACCTGAACTAGTGTTCTGACAAGTTATTTTAGAATTTTCACTTTCCAGAATTAAATTCTGTTTTATTGAAAAACAGTTAAGACTAAAACAATCAGATTAATACAGAAAATAAGATTGCCAATTTTTATACGCCCGTTTGAAAAACGGGACGTATTATGGGAACGCCCCTGGCGGGCGGGCGGGCGGCGTCCAATTTTGTCCGGAGCATATCTCCTACATGTATGGAGGGATTTTAATGAAACTTCATAGAAATGTTCACCACTATGAGGAGCAGTGTCGCGCACATGAACCAGGTCTCTAGGTCAAAAGTCAAGGTCACACTTGGAGCTCATTGAAAAATGCTTGTCCGGAGCAAAACTTCCACATGTATAGAGGGATTTCAATATTACTTGGCACAAATGTTCACCATTGTGAGGCGGAGTGTCGCGTGCAAGATTCAGGTCCTTGCGGTCAAGGTCACACATAGAGGTCAAAGTTCAGATAAAAATATGAAGATGTGTATATGGACCATTTAGTCATCATTTATTGAGGGATTGTAACACAAATGGTCATTATCAAGACTATGGCTGTGATACATATAATTTAGGTCAATATATACAAGGTCAAGGTCACTAAAGATAATGAAATATCCAGATTTTGTAAATAGACTTTAATCAAAGGGCGACAACAAAGTTATTACTTTGTTCATAAATGACTTACACAATTACTCCCCTTGATCTACTTTCACTTTCAATTCTAAAAATAGAATTTAATCAAAGGGCATAAAATAATCCTCTTTCTTGGACTTGAGTATGTTCTAAAGAATGTAACATTTATTTACACATGTTTCATTCATTGGTCAAGATTCTTAACTGTGATAACTATGGTGTTCTGTAGACTTGGTATTTGTTCATAAAGATCATACAGTAATTACCTTATCAAATGTAAATACTTTCTCATAGAAATTTAATTATATTTTAATTTCAAGTAAATATCAGTTCAGCCCTCCTACATGTATGGAGGGATTTTCATGAAACTTCATAGAAATGTTCACCACTATGAGGAGCAGTGTCGCGCACATGAACCAGGTCTCTAGGTCAAAAGTCAAGGTCACACTTGGAGCTCATTGAAAAATGCTTGTCCGGAGCAAAACTTCCACATGTATAGAGGGATTTCAATATTACTTGGCACAAATGTTCACATTGTGAGGCGGAGTGTCGCGCGCAAGATTCAGGTCCTTGCGGCCAAGGTCAAGGTCACACATAGAGGTCAAAGTTTAGATAAAAATATGAAGATGTGTATAGGGACGATTTAATCATCATTTATTGAGGGATTGTAACACAAATGGTCATTATCATGACTACGGCTGTGACACATGTACTTTAGGTCAATATATGCAAGGTCAAGGTCACTAAAGATGGTGAAATATCCAGATTTTGTCTCGAGCAATATCTCCTACTTGTATGGAAGAATTTTTATAATACTTTATGGAAATGTTCACCACCATGATATGTATTGCTCCATGCATGATCCAGGTCTCCAGGTCAAAGGTCAAGGTCACACTTAGAGCTCATTGAAAAAACGCTTGTCCGGAGCAAAACTTCTACATTCATAGGGGGATTTCAATATAACTTGGCACAAATGTTCACCATTGTGAGGCTGAGTGTCGCACGCAAAATTCAGATCCCTGCGACCAAAAGTCAATGTTACACATAGAGGTCAAAGTTCAGATAAAAATTTGAAGATGTGTATAGGGACCATTTAGTCATCATTTATTGATGGATTGTAGCACAAATGGTAACTATCATGACTACAGGTGTGACACATTTAATTTAGGTTAATATTTGCAAGGTCAAGGTCACTGGAGATGATTAAATATCCAGATGTTGTCCGGAGCATATTTTCTACATGCATGGAGGAATTTAATGTTACTTTTATAGAATTGTTCACCCAGCACTGAGACGTAGTGCCCTGCAGCACATGAACCAAGTCTCTAGGTCAAAGGTGAAGGTCACAGTTAGAGCTCATAGAAAAACGCTTGTCTGGAGCAAAACTTCTACATGCATAGAGGGATTTCAATATAATTTGGCACAAATGTTCATCATTGTGAGGCTGAGTGCCGTGCATAAAATTCAGGTCCCTGCGACCAAGGTCAAGGTCACACATCCTGTGCATATCTTCCCTACTGATTTGTTTTAAGGTTCATTTAACAACACAGTGCCAAGAATAAAAACTTGCTTGCTAGATAACACTTATCCATAATGCCCCCATCTCCATCTAAAGCTTTCGTAAACGGGCGTATTTTCAGGGCTGCCGATTTTCCGCGGATCCGCGGAATTCCGCGGATTTTGTGAGCTCCTAGGTCATTTTCGAGATCGATGTAAATTCGACAAAGACAATAAATTCATTCATCATATTTTATACAGTACCCAAAAACCGGCACGCTTCGGCTTTTATCGTTACGCTAGCCGCCTATGGTACGTCTGTAAGCGCTTTTCTCATTGGTCATATCGAGTCTTTTCCGGCATTCTATTTTAGAGTAACTAATCAAATTACAGTTTACATTGTCGCTCTTGTCTGTTGTCAAAATGTCGGATATTTGTCAAATTTAGAGTCCAGGAAATTGATTTAATGGCATACCAAATCATCAGAATCCAGGAGATTCAAGGGGGTTTCGCCTTCTGGTCCCCCACCAGGGCTCTGTCCTGGACCCGCAAAGGGGGCTTGCGCAGCCCCCTTGACCCCCGGCGTATTTTCCGCTGATTTTGCAATTTGCTGTTGGCAGCCCTGTATTTTGTGACTATGGCACCCTTGTTAGTCAGTATTAACTATTTAAGAATGTAGGGACAACTTTGGTTACATAATGATGATGAGCCTATTAAGCTGAATCACTGCAGTGAGGATGCCTCCACAGTGTAAGACATCGTCTACATCACTTAGCAAAGTAGCACATGTGTAATTAAAGCCACACCAGAAGTCATGTAAATAATCCTTTACCTGTAAGCATTGTATTGTAATTGATCCGTCTCAAATTCAGTCTTTCTTTTGTTTTCTGAAGCTCAGCTGACTTTTAAAACCTGAAATCAAATCCCAACAACTGAGAATGGACTTCAACGACATCCTTTTTATAAAATTTTCAATTTCATTTCAATTAAACATGCATGGTCCATAACAGAGGCTATCTTTATCGACAGCTTTCTGTCTTCTAGCTGGTGCTGTTAAATCAGTGTTCTGGTGAAGAATCAAGAATGTGCACAGGGCGTTTCAGGGGAAAATATAGTATTTTTTGGGGATAATGTATAGCTTTCTTGTGCTAAGGGAAGCAGCCTTAAATTATTTGGCTGTAAAATATAGGGGGGAAATCATTGATTGTTATCATAAGCAAAGAAAAGTTGCTTCCCTTGAACTTGGATATATTGGTAAAATAACCAATGCTTAGCTTGAAAACTGAAAAAATCATTGCTGAGAGAAGAGAGAGAGAATGTTAAGTTAGAGAATTGATTTTTCTGTTTAATAGTAATTAGAGTTTTGAGTCCGTGGCAATTTAGATCAATAAGAAGGTACAGTGAGTCACTGTTGACATTACCTTAATGCTTCTTGGAGTGTTAGCTCCAATGTTTTTACTCTGTCATTACAGGGCACTGTCATCAAGTGGTTTCCAATAATTATATGTTTGTCTCCCACTGTCTCTATATGTACATGTGTGTATGCGTGTGTTTTTTATAGAGAAGAAACTTTTACAATGTTCAGTATATGTCATACATATGTATTGCTTGTCAAATTGCTTGAAAGATAAGGGAAAATCAAATTTGAAATCAGAAATGTAATCTTGAGGTAAAAAATACTAAAAAAGGTAGAAGAAAAAACAATTAGGATTTACCCCATTAGCCAACTGTAATGTATTTGTGTGTTAAATTGTATTAATTATTATTACTGTATTGACTTGTAATTATAAATATTAACTGGTCATCTATAATTATTTTTTGATATTAGCCAACTGTAATGCATAGAATTTGTGTGTTAAATTGTATATTTATCAGTTACTGGTCTTTTATTATTTATTTTATATCAAGTGGTTTGTAATAATTTCACAATGAGCAAGTTTTGTGCCGGCCCATGCATATTAGTCAGATGCTGTGTATTTACCTACAGGACTGGTAGTACCCATCTTTGAGATGTGATGACTGTATGATTAATTAATTGACTTTCTATTTACTGTTTCATCTTAAATATTTTGCATTGAAGTTGAAAAAAGTAAAAAAATTACTTCTGTACATTGTTATATTAAGTGTTTCTGTATACATAAAGTAAAAAATTATAAGCATCCAAGTTCCAACATTTATACATGTACATGTACCAGTAATGAAATAATAAAAGCTGTAGCAAATAAAGGGTTAATTTAACACACAATATTTCCTGGCTGGACACCATTTTCAGTGTCTATTTACTTGTAGTTCCAGCGTAATGCTTAATATTAATTGTGCCTAGACACGATTATTCAGGCTATACTTGTCCTTGCATGGACAGTCCGACACCATTACTTGTGTCACCCAGTATACCTCAGATATTCCTTCGTCATTAAACCTGGACAGTCCCATATGTTAAAACAACAACAACAAAAAAGCAGCTCCCTTCAGACTTGAATGGAGTAAGGCTTAGCTATCATAGAAATTTAGGGAAATATAAGCTCTGACATCATAGTTGACATATGAGTCGCGACACGACAAAACCAACATAGTGGGTTTGCGACCGGCATGGAACCAGACCAGCCTGCGCATCCGCACAGTCTGATCAGGATCCATACTGTCCTCTATCAGTTGCTCTACTTGTTATAGAGTTGGTAAGCGAATGACATGGATCCTGATCAGACTGCACTGATGCGCAGGCTGGTCTGGATCCATGCTTTTCGCAAACCCATTATGTTGGTTTTGTCGTGACCCGGCTCATATTTTGAGGACCATATAACTTTTACTGTGGCATTTTTATCATGCTCCCAGTGTTGAAGTGAATGGAATAACTATGTAATAAAATGTCACTGTGTTGGAGATACTGTTAGATATTGGATCATTCCTGGAACAGTGTGAAGGAGATCTATATAAGGGTGACTCATCTCGCTTTAATTTCCAATAAAAGGTTTTACTAGAGATAGAAATATAAATTTTGACTACTGACAGCTCGTTATAACACAGCACAAATTTCCACATTTTTGGATGCAGTGTTGTTTTTAAAAGTGTTCATGTGAAAAATAACTGGCCCATTTATAAGTGGACAGATAGTTTGGTAATATAGATAATTGGGCAAGTTGCAAGCAGGCTAACAATCTTTTCCAAGGTTTAGCTTGTTTAATATTTAGTTAATGGTTATTTACTTTAATACTAAAATAGGCCACATTTAAACTATTAACAACTATATTTACTTATTGACAAATTCAAAGCCTGACACGTCCCTAAGATTGAAAGCATGCTAAACGGTTAACAATTTATTGTCTACATTTTAACACATTGTTAAAATCTATTATTCACTCACTTGTTATACTTATTATTAATTGATACAGTTCTATTGTTCATATTTCTTTGTGAGTGTCCACAGAATCATGAATTATTAAAGTTAAACACGTCCAAATAACTTTGATTGATCTGTAACTCTGCCATTGATCACAGAATAGTTCGCTTTTGTTCAATTGTTTGTTCCATTTTTACCAGCCTCTGTGTGCTTTTACATTTTCATTACAATACATTTGTGAACGATTGTACTTGGTAATATAGTGTTTATTGGAATTTAATTGGTTTTTGGATTTTAAAATTTGTAGCAAAGATTGGTGCAGTTATAACTTATAAATATGTATGCCTTTTATTAGTGAACAGGTAAAAAGTTATGCTCAGTTCTTGTGTAAATTTGATGTTTAATTTTATTTGATTGTTCTCCAATTTGCTTAAAGGTTTATTTTCTATTATTATTCTGGTGAAGTTTGTTCACCTTAGTGCAATAACTGGTTTAACTTCTATTGATTTTAGAAGGACTTAACTCGTAACTGCACTAAGGTGACAAAATGCAATTTAAAATTTCGTTAGTTGAATGGAACTTTTTTTTTATCTTAGTGCATTACGTAAGGAATGATACATCTAATTTTTAATGCAATTTAGGTAAACTTTAAACAAATGTGTACCGCATTATGGAGTATATTCATTGTATCACAGTTCAAATTCTATTTTTTCCAGTGAATCACGAATATTTCTGCAATGAAAATTTTATAGTCCTCACAAAAAAGGTGGTGGTTTATAGATTTTCACTTTTCTGTCCACCCACAGTCCAAATTTCCAGTTTATCATTTTCGTTAAGTGTAACATGCTGCAATATGATATCTAGATGAAGTTGATGATGTACAGAATTAGGATAAGAATGCAAAATGAAGGTCAAGGTCACAAGAGGTCAAACGTCAAATAAAATATTTATATTTGTTTCTTGGCACTGTATCCTATCTCAGATTAGGGTCAGATGTATTGTTTTGTATTTTTTAGCATTATATTAATGATATATAATTTTATTTTCTAGGATGCGATTACAGTGGTTTCCATGGTAACTGTAAGACATGTCCTCATATGATGATCTACTCAGACAGGTAGAATCACTGCGTCAGGTCAACTCAAGTCTGCAACGTGAGATCCAGGACAACAATGCACAGTTGTCAAGGCTGCAGGAAAATTCCGCCCATCTAGCTCAATACACAACTGGCCCCGCCCCTCAGGTTGTGAGATCTCAGACGAATGCTGCCTCGGCTAGTAGACCGACAAACATCCACTCCCCTCCAGTTTCCAGAGCTCAGCAAGGTTTACCCCAGTCAGACAGGCAGGTAGGGAGTCCACCTTTGCCACGTCCACAACAGAACTCCGCCCACAGTGCTAATAGGCAGTCAGATAACCACACCTTCCCTGCAAGAGCCCAGGATAATGCTGTCAATCATTTATCACGACTTCAAGATACGACCCCTTCAAAATCTAGGTAAATCTTCCAACATGTTGATAAGTATCCTTGTAGTAATTGTGTCTTCTTTCTTCTTATAGTCCACACCACAACATTACTGCCAGTGTATTAATAAAGCATCCTGTTAAACATGCATGCTAGCAATGACTTTCCTCTGGCAACAAGTAACTGGTTTGTCAATTACTGGATCGAACATTCGAATACCTGTTAACAAAATTTATACTACAGTACTGACTACTCAGTAGAGAGATGTATCTTTTCTTTAATTTTTGTTGTAAATGATAAAACTAAGTGAAATAGAAATTTTGTATTTCCAAGATAGATGAAAAAATGTTTATACATTTAATTTAAAAGTCCTTAGAAATTTTCTGAGTAACTGTTTCTGTACTCAATTGGAAGAATGACCAAATACTTGAGTACTGAAATTGGTATTGTAAATGTTTAAAATGTTAGTAAAAAAACAAACAAAAAATTTCTGCAGGTTGCAAAGATTTGCAAAAAAAAATTGTAAATACATGTAATGATATAAAGACAAATTGATATTAAATTTTTAATGGAAAAAGGTAAAAAGTAAAAATGGCAAGACTCGGTATCATTATTATTTTGATTTTATTTGACAGTTCTGGTAGACAGGTAAATGATACACAGAGTATGGAGTCAAGCCAGGGTGAAGATTTTAGTTTCAATGAAGACCTCATGGAAGGGGAGCACATGGCTACACTAGGTGAGTGCTGATCTTTACTTCTGATGTTGGTGTTTCTGCTCAGGTGCCTGAAAAAATGCACAAAAGGTCACCTGAGATCTTCCTCTTCCAGTAGAGCTTGAAGGTCACCATATGACCTTCACAGTCTTGATGGAACTAAAACCTTGAACCCATGCAGGTAGTGATCAGTAGATTACTAGTCTGAAGCGTTGACCACTCCGCCATGCCACCACTTTGTTTTTATCGTTGTCCAAAATATATCGGGAAGAATATTATATGTTTTCTATAAGACTACGTGAGATTTTCATTCATCATTGCCATACATTTACAAACACAGAGCCAATCAAAAAAACAAATAAACAAACATGATTTTCTAATGCAACGAGCCATTGTATACGAATATCCCGTTGAAAGTGCTTTAGAAATTAAAAGAATCAATTCATGGTCTTATATTTCATGCAGAATCAATGCCCATTTTGTCGGTTTAGCTGTTTCAGCGAGTTATTTTTCCCACCAAAAAAAAAAAAAGAGCCACGCAGTAATCAATTTATCCTAGCAATTATAACAGAGGAAAGCCTGATCTGTTCAATAGATAAGGTACAATGTTGTACAATTTTGTCTGCAGATTTTATGTCCACTGGGCATGTGTGATAGATATATCTTGGTGATAGGCATTGTCTTACAAGTTTTATCTGATTCTGTGATTGTATTACATAAAGTTATTGTGTCTTTTTTTGTATCCAGAAACTCTGATATCCGATATCTGGTAGTCTGAGAGTAGAAATATCCGTTGGGACATTGAATTATGAACATTATTGTATTGCGAAAGCCGCCACTTGACCTGCAACACTGTCTGTGTGACTTGAAACCTTACCAGAATATAATAGAGGAAAAAATACCATAAGTAGATTGCAGAGAAAATTTGATAGGTGGCTTACAAGATAAAAGCAGGATCTTGATAGTTTATTATAATTTGTACTGAAGAAATGTAAAGTTGGAAAGTAGATGACAGGGGAGGCAAAATCAATTGTCCGTATAGCCCAAGTTGTCCCCTAGCCTGTACAGACAAGTGGAAATTTTCAAGAATTTTACTATATAGATGTTAATATACAAACATGTTAAGAAATGCTTCAGAGAAATACAGACAAGTTAGTCAAAATCAGATTTTGCCATCCCTGCTGAGATAAACTCTGTATTAAGCTAGTTTGAAGAGGTCATTAAAGGTAAGAAAAGTGTCAAGGTCACTACAAGGTACAATATGATTGGTATAGATATCTGAGAGAGAGAGTTGTTAATTACCTGCATCCTCCACTTACAAAATGATTAATGATTTCATGCGGACAGCATGTCCAAACAAATTTTAACTGTAGGATGAAGATGTCAAGTCAAATTGAGTTAGAATGCTATGAGGGAGTTTCTCTAGGGAGCATAAAATTATATCTACTCTCTTAGTCCACATTTCCAGAACATTACTGTACTCTATTACTGTATTTTGTAACTTTCAATTGGGAATTTTTTCCTGTGGATTGGGAAAATAGTATACTATTTTTCAATTGGGAATATAACCAAATATCGGCTATAAAAGAAGTAAAAAAATTCCTTGAGGCTACAAATGATAAGATTCAAGATTCTAAATATTTTATTTGGTAATGTTAGCATGACTTTTCTTGTTACACAACACATATAAATTATTACAATGATACAATAGAACTTGTCAACATGGCACAAATTTGTAGACAATTATATTAGCAGAAAATATGATACATATAGTGATAACAAATGAGAAAATGGAAGGTAGAAAAACAAGCCATGTATGGTTTCGAAAGAAAATAGACCAGGGAGGGAAGAGGGGGGCATTTTGCAGGTGAAATATAATGATGTTACAATACATAATTACTCAAGATTACTAACTGTATCAATGATTGTAAAAACAGAGGAGTGGTAAAGTTAGGTAGTTTCATATACCACCATTCTAATATATTCACAATTACTGCTTTAGGGTGGTTTAATTACAAACTGTAGTATGTTTTACTGAATAAATTGTACTGATACAGGTCCCAGTGACTCAATTTATAAAAAATAAACAGTTTATTATAGTGTTCAATGTACGTGGTTCGGTTAAACTCTACTTTCTGATTGAGAAATTTCTTGGGATTTTTAGCTCACCTGTCACAAAGTGACAGGGTGAGCTTTTGTGATCGCTTTTCGTCCGGCGTCCGTCCGGCGTCCGTCCGTCCGTAAACTTTTACTTTAAATGACATCTCCTCATAAACCACTAAGCCAATTTCATCCAAACTTCACAGGAATGTTCCTTTGGTGGTCACCTTTAAAAATTGTTCAAAGAATTTAATTCCATGCAGAACTCTGGTTGCCATGGCAACCGAAAGAAAAAACTTTAAATATCTTCTTTTAAAAAACCATAAGAGCTAGAGCTTAGATATTTGGCATGAAACATCTTCTAGTGAGTGTCTACCAAGTTTGTTCAAATAAAAGCCCTGGGGTCAAAATTGGCCCCGCCCCGGGGGGTCATTGATTTTCCCTATATACATATAGTAAAAACTTAAAAAATCTTCTTTTAAAGAACCAAAAGAGCTACAGCTAAGATATTTAGCATGAAACATGTTCTAATGGGTGTCTATCAAGTTTGTTCAAATAAAAGCCCTGGGGTCAAAATTGGCCCCGCCCGGGGGGGTCATTGATTTTCCCTATATGCATACATAGTAAAAACTTAAAAAATCTTATTTTAAAGAACTCAAAGAGCTATGGCTAAGATATTTAGCATGAAACATGTTCTAATGGGTGTCTACCAAGTTTGTTCAAATGAAAGCCCTGGGGTCAAAATTGGCCCCGCCCCGGGGGGTCATTGATTTTCCCTATATGCATATAGTAAAAACTTACAAAAAATCTTCTTTTAAAGAACTCAAAGAGCTATGGCTAAGATATTTAGCATCAAACATGTTCTAATAGGTGTCTACCAAGTTTGTTCAAATAAAAGCCCTGGGGTCAAAATTGGCCCCGCCCCAGGGGGGTCATTGATTTTCCCTATATGCATATAGTAAAAACTTAAAAAATCTTCTTTTAAAGAACCAAAAGAGCTAGAGCTAAGATTTTTAGCATGAAACATGTTCTAATAAGTGTCTACCAAGTTTGTTCAAATAAAAGCCCTGGGGTCAAAATTGGCCCCGCCCCTGGGGGTCATTGATTTTCTCTATATGCATATAGTAAAAACTTAAAAAATCTTCATTTAAAGAACCAAAAGAGCTAGAGCTAAGATATTTAGCATGAAACATGTTCTAATGGGTTTCTACCAAGTTTGTTCAAATAAAAGCCCTGGGGTCAAATTGGCCCCGACCTGGGGGGTCATTGATTTTCCCTATATGCATATAGTAAAAACTTAAAAAATCTTCTTTTAAAGAACTCAAAGAGCTATGGCTAAGATATTGAGCATCAAACATGTTCTAATAGGTGTCTACCAAGTTTGTTCAAATAAAAGCCCTGGGGTCAAAATTGGCCCCACCCCAGGGGGTCATTGATTTTCCCTATATGCATATAGTAAAAACTTAAAAAATCTTCTTTTAAAGAACCAAAAGAGTTAAAGCTAAGATATTTAGCATGAAACATGTTCTGATAGGTGTCTACCAAGTTTGTTCAAATAAAAGCCCTGGGGTCAAAATTGGCACCGCCCCGGGGGTCATTGATTTTCCTTATATGTGTATAGCAAAAACTTAAAAAAATCTTCTTTGAAAAAACCCAAATAGCTAGAGTTAAGATATTAAGCATGAAACATCTTTTAGTGAGTGTCTACAAAGTTAGTTCAAATAAAAGACCTGGGGTCAAAATTGGCCCCGCCCCGGGGGTCATTGATTTTCTTTATATGTGTATAGCAAAAACTTAAAAATCTTCTTTGAAAAAACCCAAATAGCTAGAGTTTAGATATTAAGCATGAAACATCTTCTAGTAAACGTCTACAAAGTTTGTTCAAATAAAAGCCCTGGGGTCAAAACTGGCCCGGCCCCAGGGGTGTCATTGTTTTTAACTATATGTGTATAGTAAAAACTTTAAAAAAATCTTCTTTCAAAAAGCCCAATGAGCTAGAGCTTAGATGTTTAGCATGAAACATCTTCTTATGGGTGTCTACCGAGTTTGTGCAAATAAAAGCCGTTAGGTTAAATTGGCCCTGCAACGTTGGGGGGTGGGGGTTGGGGGGCCTATATACAGGTGAGCGACCTCAGGGCCATCATGGCCCTCTTGTTTTGTGTGATATTTCTTGTGAAGCTAACATTTATTTATAATTTATGTACACATGTATTGATTGGATTGATTTTAATTGATTAATTGATTGATTGATTAATCATTAATTGAGTGACTAATTGTTTGTCATTGATTGACTGATAGTGATTGTGTTTCTGCTGTACCTGGAACTAAGTTATTACTGGTGTTGTTTACAAATTCTCATTAGATTGATGTTAAAATAAAAGTGTTAACATAACATAACATACAGAACACAACAAACATAACAATTTTATTATTATAATGGATAATAAAATTGAAGAGAGAAAAATTGGCTTGAGGAATTTTAATGAAACTTCATAGGAATGTTCACCACCATGAGAAACTCAGTCACACATGAACCAGGTCAAGGTCACACTTACAGGTCATTGCAAAACACTTGTCCAATGCAAAACCTCTACAAGCATAGAAAAAATTCAATATGACTTGGCACAAATATTCACCATTGTGAGGCAGAGTGTTGCGTGCAAAATCCAGGTCCCTGCAGCCAAGTTCAAGGTCACACATAGGGGTCAAAATGCAGATAAAAATGTGTATTTGGACTATTTAGTCATCATTTATTGAGGGATGGAAACACAAATGGTCATTATCATGACTACGGGTGTGAAACATGTAATTTAGGTTAATATATGCAAGGTCAAGGTCACTAAAGGTGATACAATATAGAGATTTTATCCAGAGCATATCTCTATGGAGGGATTCTAATGAAACTTCAGAGAAATGTCCACCAC